TCAGCAGTTGCTAGGTGGGGGCCTCTGGGCAGGGTGAAGAGGAGAGCAAAGCAGAATGGCCGCTGTCACCTGGGAGACCCTTTAGCTAGTAGAATGAAATCCCAGACCAGGCAGTTGTCAGAAAATGAGGCATATGGCCGGACGGCTGGCTACTCTGGAGATCTGGACTGGAGATTACGAGGAGGAGGGAGGAAATTAAGGAGGAGGAGAGAAATGACAACTGCCTTTGATGCTGAAACATTTGCAGCCTGCCTTCGGGAACCTGGAGGACAAAGGAGACAGAGCCACTCCCTGTCTGGGACTCAGGAAGGGAGACTTGAAAGAGATAAATTTAGACTCAGCAGAAGCCACTTGCCTTCCCATGCCCATGTGGGAAGTCAGCTGCCTTGGCATGTGGCTCCAAAAGGTGACAGGGTCTGGGGATGGACTCAACAGCAGGAAAGCTAGCTGAAGCCCAAGAGGAGAGAGCCAGAGTCCAGTGGGCTGCTCTGACAGAATGGTAGCTCTTGAAACTGTTGACAAAGAGAAAGCACAGTCTGCTTTCTATACAGGTGACCCTTGCACATGAGGATGTGAACTGGGTCGACTTAGATTGGGTCTTTCTCAGTTAAAAAAAAAATACTTTGTTGGTTGTTGATAGACATTTCCTGATTGATATGGTTTAGTATTTGTATATTTTCTCTTCTTTATGATTTTCTTGACATTTTCACTTCTCTAGCTAACTTTAAGAATACAGTGCACTGTACATAGAATGCACAAAATCTGTGTTAGTAGACTGTTGTCGAAAGGAATTCTAGTTGACAACCAGTAAGTTTTCGGGAATCGAAATTTATACGTGGGTTTTGGACTGCCTGGGAGGTTGATGCCCCTAGCCCATGTTGTTGAAGATTTTACTGTACTGCCTTCCACGAGCCATTAAGGGAAGACACAGTCCCTGCCTATTCAGAGACAAACCAAGATTGGAGGTTTGGGAACACAGGGGGTGGGATTAAACTTTCTGCTTCTGGAAATTTCTTGGCCAGCCTTTAAGGGGACATGTTCCCTCTTAACAAAAAGTCTCTTGGTTGGAAACCCAGCACATAGGGCAATAAGGAGAACTGAGATCACTGGTCAGTTCTGCAATGACTTGCTTTATGACCTCAGCACAGTGCCTTCCCCACAGGTAAATGAAATCCTGGGATTCCATGAAGCTCCTTCAGGGTCTAGCCTCTTTCTGCACAATATGGATCCTTCTTTTGGACCAAAATAATCTTTACATGAACAAATGGGCTAGTATATTTGATCATGGATCACCTACCAGCCATTTCTCACCTGCTGTGAGAAGTCAATCTGCATAAATCATGCAATGTCACCTCACACTGGTTAGAATAGGTATTAGTGAAAAGTTGAGAAATAATAAGTTTTGGAGAGTTCCTTGAGAAATAAAAAATAGATATACCAGATAAGCCAATATTCCCACATCTAGAAGAATATGGAAATACTAATTCAAAACATTATATGCATCCCTGTAGCCACTGCAGCACTATTCACAACAGTCAAGATATGGAAACAACCCATGTGTCCAAAAATGTTTGACTGACTAAAGAAGATGGGGCACACACACACACGCATACTACTCATCTGCAAAAAAGATGAAGTCTTGTCATTTGTGACAACATGGGTGGAACTTGAGGGGATTATGCTAAGTGAAATAAGTCAGAAGGAGATAAAAAAAATCACATGATTTTACCCACTTGTGAAACATATTTTTAAAAAGCAAAAATAAGTAAATAAAACAAAGTAAACACCAATCTTTAGATCCTCAGAACAGTATGGAAGGGGAAGGGTGAGTGCATGAGTAGCATGGGGCTGATTGGCAGGTGGTAACATTTGGTGGTGGGTGTGGTGTGATAAGCTGAGACAAGATACTGTAACCCGAAGCCTGTGAAGTCTTATACACTGAGGTTACCTGCCACAGTGGCTGGAATCTAATAAAAAACACCCCTTTTCAAGGGAGAGGAATTAGGACTGTGCTTAATATAGGTGGGGCCACAGTTTGAAGCTGGGTCTACCAAGAGATCAGTTTCACTCATACCCCTTCCTCCTGCTTTATCATATGAGTTCTTGTAGGCTCCTTCCTGGCCAGGGAAATACCTTTCTAGCACTTTGCTCTTCCAAGAAGCAGTGTGTTTGCTATCACTTCAAAGTCCAGTTCATAAGCTTCCTCTTCTTTATTACCTTTTTTAATTCCTTCACATGGGCACTCCTTGGAAGCCATCGGCATTCCTTGGAACACTACAAATTAAATTTTCCTGTATGTGTACTTTTCCATTCCATGTATTATCTTTCCAGTTTGTAAATTTCTTTCTCTAAAGCAAAAGACATTTTTTTTTTCCTTTTGGATTCATGTAGCTTATTTTATCCATCGTGAATGCTCAAGACAGTTTCAGACTATTAACCCTACAGAAAGCCTATGTTGTGGAATCTAATGATTGCACAGTTTATGTACATTGTCCTTAAATTTCTCCCAGAGTTTTTCCTACAAAGTTGCTCTCTGCCTCCGCTTTAGCATTTGAATAGTAGAGTGAAAATTCAAAAGGAATTGGAAGACTCAACTCTGCCATAAACTGCTGGTGGATGTCCACTGCCATCTTGTCCTTTGCCAGCTGTTGCTCTCTGGACGTATCCATCACACACACAACTCTCTCCCTAAACCCTCTTTCCTCCCCAATCCTGTCCACATTGAAGCCACCCACTTTCATGTGGCTTCCACTACAGAAACCAAATTCACCCCCCATTTCACAATTTCCCATGCCCCCCCTCATCAAAACCTTCAGTTCACTTCCCTTTTACCATGTTCCTCATTTGTAGTCAGAATAAAGACTTGGCCCATGAACACCCCACAATCTGCCACTGCTTACAGTGATATGCCTGGTTCCACAGACACCCCCACTCTCCCCTTAAATTCAGCTTTACTCAAATAGATTTTTTTTTAAATTCAAATAGATTTACTCAAATTCCTGAAGCCAGGCATGTTCTTTTCCTTTTTAGAACATCTGTCTCCACTTGAAACCCTTTTCAGTGCTAATTCCCACTCATCTTCTAGGTATTAGTTAAGTAACATTTCATTTGAAAAGTACACTGCATAGCTTTATTATTGCTTTGTAATCTAATAGCTGTATCACTACCACTCTTCTAAAACAAACTGAACTAAATCAGATCCCATGCTAATTGCTTAACAGGAACTCTAGATCTGTACCTCATGGCACCCAACAGAAATAAACGGCTAAGATCACACCCACACACCCACTATACCTAAGTGTCTATTTTTCCATTGTATTTCCAAGCAAACAGCATGGTATTTGGAATATAGGGGCACCTGGAAAGGGCGTGGAATATTCATTCTCTTTCCCTGCACCTTGCCCTAAGCCTCTCTTCCATTTGGCTATTACAGATTGATATCCTCTTACAATAAGTCATTTATCTATTAAGTGTGAGCTAGTCTAGCAAATGAATCAGATCTTTGGAACGTTCAGTCTACAGATAGCTGGTTAGAAGCACAGGTGACAGACTGGATTTGCAAGTGATATCGATATGGGGCTGATGGGCATGTTCATAGGACTTAACCCTGGGGAATCTGACACTATGTCCAGGTAGGTAGTGTCAGGATTGAGGCAAATTGTAGGACATCCATTAGGTGTCACAAAATTTCCTGCTGGCATGGGGTAAAAACTTACATGTTAAAATTAGAACCAGAATAGTCAAATGAGAATTCACATCTCCATTCTAATTATGAAGTGGGAGATGGTGGGATCTATTGGGCCAGAAGATAAGACTTGGAGTCAGCCAGACTTATGTTAGAATACTCATTCACCCTCTCTCTAGTGAGTAAAAGTCACATTCCACTTGTGGGTGCAGCCTCAGTGAGTTTTAATGATGAAGTTAAAATGCCACTATTTGGGCATTGACACTTCCTGGAAGGGGGTCTTGGGAAAGTCACGTAGAATTCTCACTTCTCATCTGTATAGGGGGATGAAAATAGAGTAATTCTTACTAAGTGGAAGACATTATTATCACGCCCACTGCCATCATCACTGTATGAATTAGATGATGGAAGAGCCAGGATGATTGTAACAATCATGATCTCAAATGGCAGGAGAACTTTGTTTTGTAATAATGTGCCATCATGTTTTGCTTCAAAGTTATGTACAAGTATAATTTTTTAAAGGTAGTAATTTCTTACAATGAACAATTCTCATCCTACTATCTTATGGCTCTTTAGATTTTGAAGCATGACTAAATCTCACCTAATGGCTCTACTCTGGCCCCAGTTTCATCAACATTCCCAGCAAGACTATCAGTGTTAAAAGGGATGTCTAATCTAGATATCATTTGGCCAAACTAGTTCCTGTTCTGTTTACTTTCATATCTTTTAATTTCTCCTATATCTCTGTATGGCTAATAGGGAAAGAGATCTTAGATGTATTGCTGAGCTAGTAACAAAAGCAGTTGCTAAACAAGTTTACTGAGACAGGGTGCACGTATGTGCTTGTACACACAGATAGAGGGGGTGGGAGAGAGTAGTGTTTTAAGAATGTTCCTGAAAATGTTAATTCTGGATATTTCTGGATGACTGGAATTTGATTTTCTACTTCATTAAATATCTCTATTTTTGAACTGCCTGAATAGTCCACATAGGACACTTGTTTTTAGTAGACTAACAGATCAATTTAAAAAATTAAAAATTCATTAACTGCACTTACCAAGATGATTTAAAATTGAATTTAAAATATGTGAATAAACTTAGAACAATAGGGAGTGGGATAAGTTAAGGGCTGGATCAGTGGGTGAAGAACCTCCTGTAGTGAATTATGTTGACTTAAACCCTTCATCGACGGGTCTCGGTAAGCTTGGGAAGAAGCTCTCCTGAGGCCTGATAGCAGATCTCTATTCTCTGGTACCCATATTTCCCTCCCCAGGCTCATATTTTTGTCAGTAAAGTAAAAGCATCTGCTCCATACCTAAAGGTCATCTGGAAGACTTGGCCTTGATTCACATGCTGAGTCCGGTTGTTATATCCATGTAGCATCTCACCAAAGAGGGTGTCGTTGAATTTGGAGTCAGGTTTGAGGCACTTGGGGCCCTCACAGACATCTGAGAGCATCAGGCAGGATTTTCCATCAGGAGCCAGCTTGTACTCCTCCACACAACTGCATGATTAAACAGATCCAAGAGTTAGCTCTGCAGACTGGACGCCCCCATTGGGGGTGACCTAAAACCAAGGCCTCTTTTGCCTGTAAAACAGGTCAGAGTTTAAGAATAGAGACAGCTATTCTGGCTGGAATCTATCTAGGGCACAGGTGTCTGGAGAGAAGCACATTAATCCTGTAAATTGGTAAATTCAAGGAGAGTCATTTGTGACATTTTGGAGGAGTCAAGGGGGAAAGCAGACTGTACATCCACACACAAAGCAAATTTAAAAACTGCTTTCCATGAATACACAGACTTTAAAAAGCATGACAGACCAATTCACAGGGAATTATCAACTAGGTTTTCAAACTAGAATCTATTCCCAGTGTATCTGTCAACCACAGTTGAAGACTATAGCAAAAACAAAGGTTATGTATTGCCCCTATAGCTCAAAGGTAGAACTTTCAGACAGCACATTCAATAACATTAGCAGCCTCTCTTGGCTTCTAACTACCCAATCCTCCTAAGCAGAAGGGTCCTTGACATGTCTTAGAGGCTGGAACGGCATCTGAATGAGATTTGTAAATAATATTTACAATATCATTTTGTAATAATAAAATAATGTGATTATTTTGCAGTAAGGAAGGAATCTCTTAGGGACATGGGGAAAGGTAAGGAAGCAGAGTCTCAGCCCCTGAAATAGCAATCCAGAAACCGGAATTATTTAAGAGACTAGGGAACATAAGTAAAGGCATACTAGAGGAAAGGCTGCATAACTGGAGAACTGTATAAATGTCACTTTTGCTTCTTGACACTTGTGAACCCAGGCAAGTCATTTAACCTTTTTGATCTTCAGTGTTCTTATCTTAAAAATGGACACTCCTCTCCTACCTTAATTCACTGGGTTGCTTGAAGTGCTGGCTGGAAAAACAGTTAAGATTCTATGACCTTAACCAAGTAATTATAGCAGTGGTAGTGATGCTGATAATAGTGGTGTTTCTATTTATTAAGCATACACTACCCACTAGAAGTTGTGTATATTTATTTTCTAGCCATGAAAAAAGGTAGTGCCATCATTCCTGCTTTTCACAGAAGCAAAGTGAGAAGCCAAGAAGTAAAGTATACCACACCACATGGCAGCCCTGGCATGCAAATTTAGGTTTGTTCAGCAACAAAGGCATCTTTTTCTACTCTTCTCTACATCCAGTTGTGTCTGTTTCCATAAGGCACTGGTTATTCTGTGCTGGTTGGAAGCACTAGAAATCAGGTGATCTCTTATCTGCTTTCTTCCATAGGGTGAGGAGGAGATCCATTGATTCGAACTGAAAGGAGATTTGAGGACTCATACAGGAGAAGGGGAATACACTAAGATGATTCTAGAAGAAAATATGCCCAGGTTTCAGAAACACCCAGTAGCTGGTGTTAGAGGCATAAAGCCCAAGTGAAGGCAGGAAATAGAACTAGACCCCTGACCTGCAAACACTCCAGGGAAAATCCAGAACATCTTGCACATGAGCCACCTGTCACTCTTTCTGTGCTTTCCTCTAACTCCAGGAGGGCTGCTGTGCTGACCATACTGCTGTTTACAGGCACACATCCTAAGTCTGGAGAGAGTTTCTCAGAAGACAAATGGCCCAGTGCTTTAGTCAAGCCTAGCCTACTTTCTTTTTGCATCTGTACATGTACTGCAACTTCCCCTCTCTCCCTTAATACAGTTGCAGTTCAGATGAAGTGAGCTCCCACGAGTGTGTAGAGCATCTAGGTAGTGTTGTATGAGGCCAAATTCCCTCATTTATCCAGGAGCTTCCTGGGAAAGATGGAGAGATGGTTTTGTGGGTACAGTACTCCTTTTGCCAGCCCCTTCTCTGCATTTTTGTTGTAAATCATTAAACACTTTCAACATTACCAAAGTATACAGAGTAAGATGTTCTTTTCCCCCCATTCCTTCTTGTTTCAGTGGATTGTGAATTATGATGCATTGCTCTAGAATTTCCTCAGTGCATTTAGATACATGTTATATATAACTATATGTAATATAGTTATATATTATATATAACTGGACAGGAGATATAGAATATACAGGTCATTATATTACATTCAGAGATATAGAATTATATTACATAAAATATAAAAAGTACTACATATAAATATGTACTATCTTATAAAATATATATGCTTTATATAATTAATGATTATACACATCATATGTAATATACATACCATGTTTACAATAAAATCATAAACAGAATTGCACTGTACTGATGTGAGATACACATTTATACCTAATACGATTTCTTAGAGATCTTTTCAAGTCAGTTTTCATAAAGATCTATCTTTTTAATGGATATTTGGCATTGCATAGTATAAATGTACCATAATGCTTTTAGCTAATCTTTATTGATGGGCATTTGGTTGTTTATAGCTATTTGCTATTACAAATAGTGCCATAATGAAGATCTTTGTACATATATCACTGTGCATGTGTGTATGTTTCTATAAAATGGTTTGTAAGAAGAGGGATTACTGGGTCAATGTTTTATGAATTTTAAAATTTTGATAGTTCTACTAAATGCTGTCTGTAGAGGTTCTATCAGCTTACAACCCTATCAGTAATAAATGGGAGAGCCTATTTCCCTACATGTTTTATATTCATTACTGTCAAGCTGGGATAGGGAAAAATAACTCATTTGGGGTGGGGGAGGGGCTTGCATTTCCCCAGCTAATGGTGAGATTTACTATCTTTTCATGTCAAAATCATTTTCCCCATCTGTACATTGTTGATCCATGTGCTTGGACCATTTTTTTTTATTGTGATTGTTGTCTCTTTCCTTATTGGGGTGTGTATGTTTTATACATTTTTTCCTTATAGTTATCCTTTACATTCCATATACAGTGAAATTTTCTTTCAGCCTATACATGTATTTTTATCTGGCTTTTGTTACCTTATAATCTATCTTGATCCTTTATTGCCTCTGAACTTTGAATGATGCTTAGGAAACCACAAGATAAGGACATTTTTATATTCTTCTAGTAATTTTATAATTTTCATCTTTGTTTATTAAATATATATGGGGGTCCCTCCCTGGTGGCGCAGCGTATTAAAGTACAGCACTAAGCTAAAGCCACTGCATCACAAGTTCAATCCACGCCCCCGGGGTGATCCACATGGCGTTGCTTACCTTTTCTGACCTGCCCACTACTCCCCTCAGCAGTGTACTTCATCGATCTGCCTGTTCTGCTCCCCACTCTGTCTCTGGTGAATCCTCTCACTGCCCCTGCACCTCTGCCCTGTATCCCAGTTCTGCATGCATACATAAATAAATCTTTATATGTGTATAAATATATACATATGTGTGTGTATATATACATACATGCACACACACGCACGGGGTATATTTTTGTGCACAGTGAGAGTGGTTAGTTTAAGTTGTATTTTTTAAAGAAGTGGTCAATTACCTGACGGATCTTATTACTTCACTAACACATATGAAATGCCATTTATCATATAGTGAATCCCTGTATATAACATGGATATATGATCAGAGTTTTTCCTGTTTAATTATTTGTATATTCCTGCAATCATTTGCCATTACTTCCATAGCTCTAGCATTATAGCATACTTTGGGCAGAGTAGTTAAGTCTCCTCATGAAAAACACTAACTTTCTATATCAAGAATTCCTTGCTGTTCTTATTTGTTTTTTTCCTTCAGGTGAGTTTTACTGTTGTCTTGCCAGTTTCCTTGTAAAATCCAAGTGGGATTTTGGATGATAATGCAACCCATACCACAATTGCAGACAACAATGTGGGGGGAAGGGAGTACTTTTTCTTTTTTTAAGAAAAATGCATTGTGAGTCAAGTCTGTGCTGAGTGCTGCCAATAACTGTGGCAGATACAATGTCTTAGGCTGAGCAGACTAGGTCATCTTCCTGGACACATGGGAGGGCTATGTACCTTGTACTTGCATTACAGCGAAACCCGGAGTGGACTGGGCCGCCTGTCTGTGGGGCCTCACCCGCAGGCTCACAAATCAGTTATACTGCAGGTACACACAAAAGGGTCAATAATGGGTTTATTTACAAAGGGGGAAAGGAATAGGAAACAACCCAGGGAAAGAGAACAGGATACAAAGTAACTGGAATACCTTAGGGCTAGTCTGACTGAACACACCAAGTCACACGGTCCAGAGAGCTGTTTCTCAAGTGAGAGAGCAAGAAATGCAATCACACCCTATTTATCCCCCAAATGTCCCAGAATTCCTGCTAGCTCTGCCCTTGGGTCCTCTCAGTTCTCTCCCAGGTACTGCTGGGAGTTGTAGTTTCTTATTACGGGAGTAGGGGATAGTGTCCAGAAAGCTGGAGTAGTAGGTGGAGTCCATAAGACTCTGCAGAGTTCCTTTAGGACATCCTTCCCCTTAACACTTGGGCTGGATGTAGCCTGTGTTGGAATTCCATGTGATGGGATTGGTATTAACCAGCTCTTAGTCACTGCCAGACCCAGCCCTTTCAAATATCCCCTGAGATTCTCAAGCTCTCTCTCTCCACTGTTATGGTAAGCATGGAGTAGAAGTACCATATGACACAGCAATTCCATTCTTGGGCTATAGCCACAGAATATGAAACCATCAACAACAACCAAAAAACACCAGTTCATAACAGACTTATTTACAACAGCTAGAGCATGGAAGCAGCCTAAAGTCCATTGATGGACAAGTGGATAAAAAAGAGGTGACATATACACACCAATGGATTATTAAAGCAAAGAAAGGCTGAATTGCAGTCATTTCCAATGGCAACATAAGTCAGGATGATAGAAAACAAACCCTGGACATTTACATTGCAGACAATTTGATAATATAAAACACTTTCAAATTCCAGTGGACATCCATAAACATTTTTAGAGATCTGAGGTTAAGGGGTGGGGGGAGCGACAAGGGGAAATGAGGGATGATGGTGGGGAAAAACATCTTTTTTTAAAAAAAGATTTGGTTTATTTATTTATGTATACAAGAACTGGGGTATA